AACTTGAGAACGAAAGAAGAGGAAACACCAACAGAGAGTTTTGGACGTTGAGATGGGCTCTTTTATCCCATTCCACTCGTTTTCGGAACCAATGGTATACGATGGGATCTGAGCGCCAAAGGTTTAATCTTACACAGTTGGCGCAGAAACTTGCAGAAAAAGCTAATGAACGATAATTATGCAGAAGTCATAGCGTGGTCGAAAACCAGAATCTCTTTTGAGTTTTGAAATCTTAATTATACTCTACATGTGAGTGTAAGGGGTGAGTGTAATTTTATACTGTACATGTGAGGTATAACCTGAAATAGTGGACGATTTTAGACTAAACTTTAAGGTTGCTGGAGTTTTTAAAATTTCTTAGAATTTTAAATTATTGCATTTTAACGTATAATTCTTATATATAAATATTAATGTATAGTTTTATACTGTAAATAAAATAAAAAAGTATTTAAAACAAAATGATGCGTAAATTTGTATGGTTGCGGTCAGGGTTGCGGTACACACGTAAATGCACACCACTGCCCGCGGATTGTTTTTACGGAAACCTTTGAGGTTTATTCGCGCGCTCAAAATATTGCTTTAGTAACACAATTCACTCCTTTCACCTCCATCGTGAGCCTTTGATTCCAATGTAACAACTATATAAGCGCCCTGGTTAACGCATGTGCACACGGTTTTGTCTGCCGTATCTGGGCGACGTTGTCAGATACAAAGTTACCGATCCTGTTTACGTCCCGGATTATACTACAGATAATCAACTGGAATGCATAATTGCACTGTCATCACCTTTTAGATTGGCTCCAGCTAGTGAGCTGGATGTATATATGTGAAGTGCTAAACTGTAGCTAGTTCTTACCTTCTTATAGATGACACCAACCAGTGCGGCTCTAGCCCTTATTCCGAGCAAAGGCAATAGTAGGCAAAAATGTTGCGAACCAAGTGTTTCAAGCAAACATCCGACAATCATACCCCAAATATGTATAATATTGTCCTCCGGGGAATGTTTCTCAAAATTGTCAACAAAGCTTTCCATCAAATTAATAGTAGAATATAAGAATAAGGCGTTTCCGATCACGTTGACAATTGTTACAAAAGCTGCAAATGCATACTCTTGCATGGTAATGTATTTTAGCATAGCTTTCCAAAGTTTAGGTTTGATCTTTTTTTGGCTTGCAGAGAATATCTCATCTTGCCAAACTTTTTCCAAACGTTTTGTGCGACGGGAAGCACGGTCGACCTCGCGAACCGGGTCGAGATCTTCATGGTTTAACGGCTTTTTTCTTCCTCTCGACAGCAGATTAACAATCCACCAAAGAAAGATTCTGGACACGAAACTAGCTCTGTCCTTGGGGTGTGCTTTTGATGCATCGCTGGCGGGCATATTGAACCACTTTTCGACTAGTCAAAGTGTGGCAATTTTAATAGCCGTTTCTGTCTCTGTAATTATTCAAGGCAAAGCGTTCTCTATATATGGAATCTAGCAAAGAGAGAAAGAGTCTAAAAGTAAAAATCAGAAACTGATTATACAACAATCCGCAATACAATTTCAGTCAACGTCGACAGAATGAGGGAAAAAGGGTGATTACCCAGATGCCAAAGGGGGCCCGGGTACATGTACTTTGTTCAGGGCATAGAGTAGTATTACACAGTAGCGTAGCTAGCATCGATGATTGGGGGGGGGGCATATTCATATATTGATTTGAAAAGAAATTAATCCTGCGTATCACGAATATATGAATATCGGCCCCCGAATTATCGTGCTGGCTACGCCACTGGTACTACAGGAGGCAAATTTGCAATTACACTGAGGGCTAATTCTCAACTCACAGAGAAACCAGAACTATGCAATTTTAGTTTAAATTTCTAGGCGACTATATTGATTTTCCTGCATTCTGATTGGTCAAGATTTACTGTTTCTGAAGTGATAGTCACTGGTCGGTGACTGAAATTATGCTGATTATTGTTTTTAAAAACACCTCGAAATTTTTACTAAATTCGGCTCAGTGAATAAAGACTCGTTATCACATTGCCTTTGGCGACTAATTCTTAAATGTATAGACTACTAGTTGTTCAGTCTGACAGAACGTTTTAGGCCTGGGTTATACGTCGCATACAATACAAACAATAGATAATGAGATGATCAACCTCATTAAGCTTCATGATTATCTCATAATGGCGTAAGCCAGTTGCTCTCGTGTGCGGGCGACTTTTCCGCGATTTTGGTCATTCGACTCGTGCCACTTACGGCAAATATCTAGCATGTTTGATAATTTCTGCCTCGCGTGCCGAAATCTTTCCGCGTGCGGTTAAATGAAAGCTATCTGCTTACGGATTGTTTTAACAGCGTAGTATACGAAAGTAAATAACCAATAGTAAATATCCAGTTCATTTTGCACCGCTATCTTCGATGTTTACTTTCGTTTACTACGCTTGCGCAGTTAAAATAATCCGTAAGCAGATAGCTTTCATTTAGCCGCACACGGAAGGAATTTCGGCACGCGAGGCAAAAATTATCAAACATGCTAGATATTTGCCGTAACTGTAAGTGGTACGAATGACCAAAATCGCCGGAAAAGTCGCTGCCGCCGTGCCGGCACACTTGCCGGCACACGAGAGCTGGCTTACGTCAATGGCCACGCATGACTTTTTGCTAAGTACATAGCTCTAATGTGCGCCGGCCTTAGTACGTCGGTATACCACCCGATATGTGCTCCCCTGGTCGACCTCTTTATGCGTTCATTTTGGCGCTGCTGGTTGTGCTACCGTCGGTGTAGGTGCCCCCTGATATTTCGGAACCTTTTCATGATAATCGTTATAATCTTCCTGCTGCCGGCTTATAAACCCACCGAAAGGTCAATCACTAGAGATCGCTGTTCTTTATTGATGCGGAAATTCCGGTTCAGTGTACTGGAACCACAAACGGATGCAAGATGAAAGAAGAGGCTGCTAATAAACTTCAAAATTGTGAAGTTGGGGAAAAAATTGTCGTATATACAATACGTCAATAACAAAGAGTTGCGCAACACTATTCACTCACCAGACAACAATCAAATTTTTTAATTGCGACGCCGTGTGCCGTAAACGTCAATATTAAGGCGGATTTCCACTTACAGTGGAAATCGTTCGCTAGCGAATTATTTGCATATTTTCTTTTGAATTGAGAACAGTCAAGTCAAACTAATTTATTTATGCTGTTAAAATTCAAAAGAAAACATGCAAATATTTCGCTGGCGAACGATTTCGCTGTAAGTGGAAATCGGCCTTAAGAGACCTTTAGCTTTATGTTTACCGTAATACGGCAAACGCCAAACCGCTAACAAAGTTTGTCAGCTGTTTAGCGTTTCACGTAAACGTGAAGCTAAAGGCACCCTAAAGGTCTATATTAGCTGCCGACGTCGTAATTCTCTTTAAATCCGTTGTTGTAGGCTTGTAGCTACTCGAATCTACGTGATTGTGAATGACTTGGAATTCTGATTGACGACTTTGGTAATTCAATGACAGAGTTCCGAACAGGTCAGGGTTCGAAATTTCTATATGTTCACATTCTATCTACACACTCACGGCGACACGAATTATATAATTATTATTAACAAATGTATGCGCGCGCGCCATAGCGCGCGTGTCAGCTAGGATAATTTCATGTGAAATAATTCGTCATAATTGCATAGTCTAACTGTAATCTTTACACGGGTCCCAGCTTACTTTAACCAACGATAAACAGGGTAAAAACAAGACACGCGAAGTACAACATATACCATAATACCAATCGGCAATTGTATGACTTTATTTCAAATCGGTTCTAACAATAGTAAGAATTATCGTGACAATCTTAACATATACGAACAAATTTGCAAGAGCTTTACCTCGTATTTTACTACCAAAAATCCACGTACAAAAAAAGGCAACCAAGCACACGGAAAGCAGTTCCACACATCCGAATCTCACATAAGTTATGCTAATTCGCTACTCGATCCTACACTTGTAATTCAGTCTATATGACGGATTTTGCATAGCAACGACAACGACATGTGAATCATTGGAAGTTCTCCACTTTTTAAATCAATTGAGTCACATGCAATTGTGGCCTGCAGCGCTCTATATCCCAATCTATATTCCTGTTCACCGTACCGCATGAAGGACTTTCTAACACCAGAAAAAGTGTTAACCCAATAAAATCCGTTTAATTCGACACTAATTCGTTTAATTCGGTACTATGTAAGCACTTCTTCGCTTGCATTCGTATTATTGTGACACTTGCGAGCTGCTCCATTTACTGTCGTAGATAATTCAGAACACTGTGCGAGAAGTGTGTGCAATGGAATGCACATGCATATTGTTCTGTTTGTTCACGCACCTACTGATTTTATGTATTTTCACACTTTTACACATGGAATCTCTCACAACTATAGCGATCACATTCCTGAAAATAGACATATATTCATGGATGACGATAAAGTCTTAAAATAAGGCCAATATAACATCACGGTTAAACACATTATTTGTTATCATCACTTTCAAAAACGTGAAAATTGTACGTGTCACGTGTGGTGTTCTAGCTGCCCTACTTAAAAGTAGGGGAAATCAGATCTGTTTCGATCCATTACTGCCCTGAAATCTGGAGTACTCCGAACAGTAAATTGAGCACCAAAGTGTTCATTTAACCGAGGTGTTGATTTAACTCCTTAAAAAAGGGTCTCAAAATTACACTCGAAAAGGCGTCATTTTGTACCTTGCACCAGTTGCACGCCCCGCAGACAGCCCGGACCATACAACATCAGTATAGTCAAATATATAGATTCTTTAATGCTTGCACGTTAAGCGATTATTTTCAAACATTCCAAAAACTGCGTTTTCCGTTGCGTCAAAAGACTAGGCATGAAGCACAGAGGATTTGGCTTCGAAGGTGGCGTTCGAAGTAGTTGTCAGTTCAATCATGAATAGTAAAAAGTTAAAAACTAAACCTAATAAAAATAAATGTTTTTCATCTATCGTGCAATGCAATGGTCATTGCACTGCTTCCATTGCATTGTGGTAAGCGATATCTCAAAAGCCAAAAGCCAGCTGAAAACCTGGAACGAGATTCCCCCCAGAGTGAGCACAGACTGAGAGAAAAGCAAGAAAAGCAGAGAAAAAACCCTTGGTATGAGGTTGGGAACGAGGCATCTCGAATCTCAATCCAGTAATGTAGGTACAGTCAGTGTGGTGCAGTTAAAATGGCGTCGATTTGGATGATAAAACTTCGGTGTGTATGTTATGTTCGTTAACTTTATTAAAAATAGCTAGTTATAACAATAAATATATTATTGTTCTTTAGCCCTATTTGGAGAATATCATGTCTATCACCAGCCGTGAGATCAACAACACCTCTTTCAAAATGGTGAGTTTGAAACTTTAGGCAATTTATTAAAATTATATACATAAAAATAAAAATATATGTACATACTACACTGTTTATTACTAAAATTTTAATAACAAAGTTTAAATTAGAAGTGTCTTTTATGGGTATCAAATTTCTGCAATGCACTTTTTAGGTAAGGATGCATGATGTTTTATATAACCAACCAATCGGCCAATCCTCTTGCATTGCAAGTTTATACGTGCACGTCAACACGTTTTTATGCACGTTTCATATTTTCGTGAAAAATTGGGGGGTTTGGGCTAGTTATGGCCAGGGATAGTTTGGCCATGTTTCACGGTGCAATTTTTCGTTCAACTGTCAATGCAATTCTACTTTGAAGAGATGAAAATCAGTGAAGAGCCTTTAAATTACAAGTTGCAAGAAAAATTGCACAGTGTAACAGAGCCTTTAGTTAAGAGCACCTTCTTGTTTTTGGACATGCAGATGTAAAAATGACATAGTGTGTGTAAAGTATGCCTGAGACATGCAATCTTCATGCTCTCTATTAAGATTTTATATATTCTATTTATTGGGCATGTAAGGGTGCATTCCATGCCAAATTCATTTAAGATTTTACTTAAATTATTAATTTTTAATTTTGAGATGTGAATACATGTAAAAATGGCAAATCTGCACTTTTTTCTGAGTAATCTCTTGCACCAAATATCAATATGCCAAATACATCAGATACAAAGTGCATGAAATGCGCATTAACTGGTGTACAATATGCATACTTTACAGTTTAATGCAGCCTGAGTGTACATATTGTATGTAGTATGGTTTATGATTTACATGATTTATGGTTTTTTTCTCTAGAAAAAATTGTTTAGTCAAATACATCAGAATTAAACAAAGTGTTAGTGTGCAATTATCGGCTTCAGACCTATATTTGTTTTTTTGTGTGTTCACATTTTGACTTCAAGCACTCATTCCATATTTACCAGTGTATGCATGAATATATGTAGGTCAGTGACTTCAATGCACTTGGGTAGACCTTACAGTTGTATAAATATAAGCAATATATACAGTTCATACTTGCTTTCTAATGTTTTAATATTGTCTTTAGTCTGACACATAATGATTACGGTAGTGTATATAACTGCATGCATTGTTGTGTGTATTTTATTATTGTACTGGCAATAGTAAAAATAATTTTGTACAATTGTCTAAATGAAGATCTTGAAGTTGGAAAAAATGATATATTTTATCATGTTACATGGACGTCCTGTTAAATACCATGATCGCTGTTCCAACTTGCTGTTTGAAAGTATGCGGAATTTGCTTTGAGTGACATTCACAGTACTGCATTACTGGAATTTAGCAATGCATGAAAATACTGTTGCCAATATATGTAATATTCCAATGATTTGCTTCTCCAGCTCACCAGCGGTTGGAATTATCGGCACGAGAAATGCTTCAGAAAGTTTTCAGTCAAAAAATAAAAGACTGGGCAGACCAACTTCACCTCATTTGTTGATATATAAGTGAGTGTAAAATATTTTATGGACTATAATGTGTATTGACTAGCATTGAAACTCTCTTGAGGTATGTTCTCAACATTATAATGAAAACTGCAGGCTACCATATATTGTATATAGCAAGCATCTGTGCACTATGCTTAGCCCAATGTTTTTTTGTTTTGTTTTGAAATTTAAAGTGCCTATATCACTTGTAGGATCTTTACGGATTTGAATAGAGCTTGAAAAATTAGTTTATAAGTTCTACAACCCTTTTTGATATAATTGAATAGTTTCGAAAATACGTCGGTTGGGGGGACTGGGACTCAGGAATGATTTGCAAACACGCCGTCTTTTATAATGTAAACATGAAGAGTTTCACTGGCGATATAGTTTGCGCTTTTCAAGAAAAAAATGCGGGAACGGTGCGTTGTGTATGGCTGTAGCAACTGGGCGAGTTTTTCTCAAAGTATTTTACGTTATTGGAAGATCGAAGTAAAATTACAAGAACTCGGTTCCTGAGTCCCATGCCCCCGACGGAAATGTAGGCAAATCGTCATGTTTAGATGTAAATATTTCCGAAACTATTTAATTATATCAAGAAGGGTTGTAAAACTTATAAACTAATTTTTCAAGCACTATTCAAATCCGTAAAAATCCCACAAGTGATATAGGCACTTTAAGAAGTGTTTATTTTAAGAATCTACATTCATTTTGTATTTTTTTATTGCTCATTCTTAACTGAGACGATTCTTCCAGTTTCTTTTTTGTTTTATTTTAAAGTTATGAAGCATTCCTCTCCCTCCAAAAATAGGAAACACTAATAAATCCTGTTTTCCAAATCTCTCTTTCTATGAACTTTGCAGAATTTCCCACCACCCAATATCTCGAAAGAAGTTTTTGCCCACTTTAGATTTCTTTCAATGCTCCTGATATAAAAGGAGCTTATTTATTTTTCAAGATTCGAGTTGCCAGGTCTTCTTTCTGGCAGTCACAGAGCAACTGGGCTTGTACAATCAGGAGGTAATATATTCTAATATATTTGGCATAGAAACACAATGCATACAAAAGAAAACCAAATTATTTATTTTTTCTTCATATTAATTTTCCTTATATCTCTTGTTTCGTAAAAAGCATACAATTGCACCATAAGCAGTCTTAATTCTTTAACATTTTATCACAATTGGGTGCCGGTATGATATTTTCTAAATGCAGGCCATTTTCTTCATAAACATTCCACAAGTCTTTGAGACTGACGAATTTGTACATATCCGGGGCCCGTTGTATCAAGCCACTCTCTTATATCTCTCTTGAATATTAATCGACTTGAATCGAATTGAATATTATGCACTGAATATGTAGTTTTAAACAGTATCTTTGTATTAAGGTTAACAACATTTAGTTTGCTTCTTGAATAAGACGATGGAATTTCTCTTTTCAACTTATCCACCGTTCAAGCTATACAGGCTTGATACAACCGGCCCCAGGGGGCCTTTTGCAGTGTTGTCTTCCTTTCTCTTATTTTCAGTGGGAGTGCCTATTTTTGGGAGAGCCTTGTCTCTGTGCGGGAAGAAATGACATAATATATTGGAAGGAGAAAATAGGGCGGGCATATTAATAATAGTTCATTGATTTCCTTATTTTTTTTTATTTAAATCATCTTTAAAATTAGTGCACTTTTTCAAATGGTTTTCGATAATTTTCTAGTCATATCATTAGCCGCTATTGGTCTCATGTGTGCTCCAGAAAATCTCGAATATTACGTCAACTACCTTCACTCCCTGGAACTACCACGTGCGGTATGGGCGTCTACTAAAATGCTCTTCGCTTGGCCTTTTATGTACCACTTGTGTAATGGCATTCGCCACTTGGTAAGATCATCGATGTGTTATGAGTGTGGCGTACGTATTCTCAGTGGTTCGTGTCTGTTCTCGGTTCTCGAGGGTGTGGGTGAACACTCGCTCACTTCATTCACTCACTCAGCACCCATATAGCCTGCCCAAAACCAGTTAAACCCATTTTTTCTATACGTATGTCAATAATTGATCAGATTCTGTTTTTTTCACAGATATGGGATGTCACGGCAAAGGGTTTCACTCAAAGTGATCTGTATAGAACTGGATATCTCACTGTTATTTTGTCTTTCCTAATAACTGGCGGGTTAATCTGGTTCTACTGAATGACTTTCGGGAATAACATTCTCTGATTCTTTAGCATTTCATTATGGACTTTGAACATAACGTTAAATGCACCAGAAATCACGACAAAGTTAATATTTATGTGATTATATAGGTTTACCAGGCTGGACAAATATAGGAATAAACAAATGTCTTAGTAAAGTTTATATATATAACTTTGTACGATGTATTGAACAATGACCATAAAGTATTTTAATAAAACCTTAACACAAACTACACCGTTTAAAAAGATAAAAGCACTAGTCTTGCCTTGCCTTTGTAAAGTGCACAATGTACTAGTATTCCCCCGATTTTAAACGTGCGAACTCATATCTTGACGTCAGCTTTCAATATAGTCACTTTGGCATAACGTGATGTGGTGTGATTACGTTGCGCGAAAAAAAAATCAAGAAAATGTCAGACTGCCTTTCCTTAATGCATGTTCTTTCTCGCTATATTGTCTGTCCGGCCAGTCACAATTTTATATTTTATATAGTATGTACAGAAAAAATGCTTTCGCGTTAAAATTATTTCCACCACTATATAGTGATATAAATGTGGTCGTCTATAATACAATTTCTGTTTTGTAATTGAATGATGGATGAAACGAATTCATGAAACAGACGGTGGTTAAAGTTAAAGTTATTATTTATCATCAAAAGTTACAGTATTGCATGTACTTGCAATAACTAGCTACATTCTACAGTGTTTCCAAAGTCTAAGGAAACAATTTAAAAAGTGAACTTACAGTATGCTCATTAAAATTACATTCTATTTCTAAAAAGTCTACGTGTAGAAACGAAAAGTTACAGTACGTGCATTGACTACAGTCTGATTCTATAAAAGTCTACAGAAATATTTCAAAACAGGTAGAATGTTTTTCGAAGAGCCGTTTCGTTTCAGTTGGTTATGCCGATTGTGCCATAGTTACGTAATCCTGCCTGTTATACAATTGTAAGTGGTGTTTCTTCCGGAGGGTCGTGATTATGGGTGAGCTTCATTTTTCGACAGAAAAGAATGTCCTCTTCCCCGAATCCAAGTTGGTACTGCCAGAAGTAGACTTGCTGGCCAGGAGCGACCGATAAGCTTACCTTTTCGGTCACCGTAGTCACCTCTTTCCAGCTCTCCGTTGTGGTGTCAACACTTTTTCCACCGTAACTCGCCGACAGGGAGAACTGGTACTTGGCAAAGGCTGCAGCAATGTCGCCGCTTTTGTAAGAAGCACTTACCTTGATGTTCCAGTTGTGTTCAATGCTGGACAGTTTACTCCTTTCTGCTCCTTTTTGGTGGCTGATTTCCTTTGTCCACTCCACGGGAGTTTTTGATTCATTTTCAAAACTCTTCAGCAGCTTCCACTCCCCAAACGCAGGCCCTTTGGTGATCGCTATTCCACCGGGGAGAAAATTAACAACATCCGTTGCGAAGGAATAGTCGTTGCTGTCCGAGTCGCGGTTCAGATTGCTTGTCTTGTGGTACAGGGGACCCCATTCCCCAACTGGCTTGACGAAGTAGACGTAGTCGCCATATCCCCAATAGTATAGACCATCGCCGCAGTCGTGATTGAGAGAATATTCCACAGCATCCTGGTCGTTATTCATGTTAGACGTGCGGCGATAGATATCGCGATCTTTATAGACAATGTAAAATGAACCAGACATGGAAAAATAATGGTCTCCACCTTGGCAATGAGGATGGAGTGAATAGACTACAGCGTCGGCATCGGTATTCATGTTCGTCACCCTGCGGTAGCTATCTTTTTGTACGATATAGAAGTAGCCATCGTTGGCAAGATAGTGATCTCCCCACTGGCAGGCGTAGTGAAGGTCAAATACCTCTATATTACCGCCTTTGTTCAGGTTGTCGGACTGCATGTACACACCAGCGTCTGACCGAACAATATAGAGGTAGTTGTTATCATCACCGCAGATGTCAACGCCTTTAGCGATTGAATGAGGGACAATTCGAGTAACTAAAAGATATGGCATTTCAGACAAATTGTTAGATGTAATGAGTTGATTTATTTGGCCAATTGGCAAGGCTGTCGTTGCTTTTTTAATAAACGTATAAATAACTATAGCGGTGATTATATAACCCGCGAAGCCCGAGCATTTTAACCTCACAAGTGTTCAGTACTTAGGAGGGTTGTCAGATTACTGAGGAAAACTGGCCAGTCATTATTCCAATAAACTTTGTTTCCCACAACAATTTTATCTTATTCAATAAGCTATTGCATGAGCAACGCTTTTTCGGAAGCGAGCATTAGTTTCAATAATGCAGCATGTCCTTGCTAAATTTTGCAGATTTTATGCAATTTTAAGTTCGGTAAGGACGGCTTTCCTGTGGCCGTCTGTTGAATAATGTATTGTCGCTTACGTATTACATATCCAGTTATGATTTGTGAGTGAATAAAGTTTGTTCAACACACCCACAGATCAGTGAACACACCTTGTTCAGAGAGGACGATTGGATTCGCGCGAGAACGCGATAGTACTCGCCGATAGGGTTTTTGGTTGCGCGAAGATTTCACGCGTGGGGCTCTTGAGCGTTGACGACCTGAACGCATCGTGAGCTGAAAGAAAATATGTGAAAATTACTGATGTGAAGCATAAAATACACTGCGGTAATCAATCATTGAACGTACGCATCAGAGTAAAAAACATTCATTGTCTATATATAAAAAATCCCTGATTCTATACATGTATAGAAGCCATAGTTATTTGCAAACCACATCTCTATCAAGATTGTGTTGTTTCGCACGAACATGCAGTTGCATGGTGTAGCTATATATATATACTGAGATAAGAAGAAAGCCGCGTACAAATAGATGAATATACTGTACTCACCAAATATATCAGTTTTAGTTTGCTTTTCACACTAGGAGAAACCTTTCACAATTGATCGCAAATTGCTTACTGTCGTTGTTTTATATTTACCATGCGGCCCTGCATGATCACCATTCGTCACAACCAGCAGATTATTCGAATTCCGCACAACACCCACGTGAAAATGCTCAAGAACTTCCTCGTTTTTCATCTTCGAATTCCGCACAACACCTACTTGAAAATGCCCAAGAACTTCCTAGTTGTTTTCTTGTCAAATTTTAGAATTTTCGTTCTTCTTTTAACGTTCTAGTAAAAGGTGCATGGGCGGGAAACTCATCTTGATTGGGGGAAAGGGGGGGGGGGGTGACTAACCACTGCCTATGATTTTGAATTAACTTAATCGTATCCATTAAACTTTAACATTGAGACTTGAGTGCATGACTGGTTTTGAGACATGCAGCATAACATGATGAAAATGATGTTCGTGCATGCCCGCTAGCATGCCGATTAACGTTATCTGTAGGCGGATGATAGCCGCCTGTTTTTTTAATCGCTAGTATGATTGCTGCTATTTTATTCAGTGCAATTCTGCAAAACAACGCATTGAGCATGCTGAAAAAATTCCTCTTGTATAGTTATAATTTTTATCCAAACACACTATTTATTATGAGTATTCTCTCTCTCTCTTCCTCCTGCGTTTTTATGTAAAGATTTGTACTAGGCGATTGCACTTGCAATTTCGTCGCTAAGATAATACACCATGGCCAACACTTTTCTGCAAGGTGCTTTAGAATTTTAGGTTCTTTCTTAAATCGGGGGCCCTTTTAGGTTGGAGGCCCGGGGCAAAATTTCTTTCTCTGAGCATTAAATAAATCATATAATTATGTTCGTTTATCAAAAGAAATAAATCATATAATTATGTTCGTTCGTGTATATATATAGATAGATATACACGAACTAACATAATTATATGATTTATTTAATGATCTGAGAAAGAAATTTAGCCATGGCCGTCAACCTGAGGGGACCCCCGATTCAAGAAAGAACTTAAAATTTTAAAGCATCTTAAAAATGCAATTTTTCAAAAGTTTGAATACTCAGTCTGATGATCGCTTTTTAAAGGCGTGAAACTCGAGTAACCGAGCGAACGGTTTTTAACTTTTTTATCTTCAATTGTATTGTATATATATATATATATATATATATATATATATATATATATATATATATATATATATATATATATATATATATATAAAATATATATATATATATATACACCCATTTGCAAAAACGTTGGCCGCAGATAGATAGATAGATAGATAGATAGACACTCGAAGTCTTTGTTTTGCAGCACTTACAGAATTCCGCTGAATAAAATTGCAGCAATCATACTGACGATTCAAAAAACAGGCGGCTATCATCCGCCTACAGATAACGTTAATCGGCATGCTAGCGGGCATGCACGAACATCATTTTCATCGTGTTATGCTGTCTCAAAACCAGTTATACACTCAAGTCTCAATGTTAAAGTTTAATGGATACGATTAAGTTAATTTAAAATCATAGGCCGTGGTTAGTCACCCCCCTCAAATTCTAAAATTTGACAAGGAAACAACTGGATGTTCTTGGGCATTTTCAAGTAGGTGTTGTGCGGAATTCGAAGATGAAAAACGAGGAAGTTCTTGAGCATTTTCACGTGGGTGTTGTGCGGAATTCGAATAATCTGCTGGTTGTGACGAACGTATATATATATTGAACATCATTTCCTCCAAAATAAATTTGGAGTTGCAACATAGGTAATAATATAGGCAAAAATTTTCTCCGTATTTACCATACTTACCCTTGACGGGCATTTTCAAACCTAAGAATGTAAATTTGTCCCTTTCCCTCACTAGCTCACGCATTACGAGTGCCTAGGCCTTGGGACCCTATAGGAAGCGGATCAAAAGGAGAAAGGAACACACACACACAACCCAAGCCATACATCCATCCAAAGCGTTAATCAGCTTGAATGTGAGAGATCGATTTTACGTATTTATCAGTGCGAATAATGTACATTCTTAACATATCAAATGTCCAAGTGCCACACAACTCATCTCATCGTCGTCATGAACATTCTTACAATGCAGGAAATAAGTATAGTTAAAAAATCACGCTAAGTACTTTTGGTTATTAGGAACCTGATAAATACGTAAAATCGATCCCTCACATTCAAGCTGATTAACGCTTTGGATGGATGTATGGCTTGGGTTTTGTGTGTGTTCCTTTCTCCTTTTAAACCGCCTCCTAGGGTCCCAAGGCCTGGGCACTCGTGATGAGTGAGCTGGTGAGGGAAAGGGACAAATTCCCCTATAACTTCCAAAATGTAAATCGATGGTTTGAATCCAAAAATAACCTGTTTTTTTCTCATGGATCAAATTGATCTCCGATACTGGCAAGAAACATTGTGCACTTGACGCTATGCCACGCCTCTAATGTTAGAATGTCTAGATATTCTATTATCTGTTATCACATCTCTAATAAATCATTATAAATTCGTCTCTCGAATGCGGTGTGTTTCCTGACATATGGAAAGAGGCTATCGGATATATCCGCTAAAGAAAAAAATGTGGACTTTCGCTCTAATTTCTCCAACCTTCGCCCTAATCAGAAATTTATCGTACATCTTTAAATTCGCCGAGAAAGCAGTTTTCAAACAATTAAACAATCACCTGTTACTGAATGCACTTTATCCCAAATTACAATTGATCGTATACCGTAAGTACCAATGAAATTTTGTTGAATATGAGCGGTTAGCGTGTTTCTTTATTGGTTTTATTGGATTTAAGTGTTGCCTTTGACACGATCGACCACTCTATGTTGTTAAACTCTTTGAAGTACAAGTTTGGTGTAAATGGTATTGCTTTATCCTGGTTTCAATCTTATCTTACGAACAAAAATTACGTATACACAGTCTTTAACAACTTAATCTCGGAAGAATTTATTTTAAGTTATGGTGTTCCACAGGGGGCTTGCCTTGTGTCCGCTATTTTTTATCCTCTATGCGAGCGAGATGTTTTCTGTCATTGACAAACACTCACAAGAAGCACATGGTTATGCCGACGACACCCAACTCTATCGCTCCTTTAACCCAAATTACCCGAACAAATAAAAAGTAGAAATTGAGAAGATGGAAAACTGTATTTTAGACCTGCGTGACTGAACGATTGAAAGTAAACTTAAAATGATTGATGATAAGACAGAATGCATGTTAATCGGAACTTGACAACAAGTATCAAAAGTGGACTTTAGTCATATTTCTGTCGGCGAGAAGCAAATAGCTCCTTCCTCTCACTTCAAAAATTAGGAGTTGTAATGGATACCAACTTCACCTTTTCACAACAAATTAACAAATTATGCAAAACATCTTTTTATTTCTTGTATAATATTCGAAAGATCCGGAAATATCCACCGAAGGATGTTATAGCTACACTTGTTCATGCGCCTGTTCTTTCTCGCTTGGATTATAGCAATAGTTTACTGCACGGATTACCGGTTTATCAAATCTCAAAGTTACAAAGAGTTCAAAATTGTGCTGCCAGGTTGATTTATATGGCTCCAAAATTTGCGCACATCAGCCCTTTTTAAAGGAACATCATTGGTTTCCTGTTAAATTTCGGATTGAATTTAAGATTCTCTTATTAACCTTGCAAGTAATCCATTGACTAGCTCCTTAGTATTTGTGTGATCTAATTCGAATCAGAGAACCGCCAAATTATTACCTGGAATAAATAACGACTTTTGGATGTACCGCCTCATTTAACTCATTCGGAGATAGAGCCTTCAAATTTGCAGCACCAAATTTATGGAATCGTCTTCCAAAAGAACTCAGAAATTAATATTTAGATACAATTCGTAATTTTAGAAAATATTTAAAAACTTGTTTCTATTGTTTCCTTCTTATCTAACTTTATCATGCAGTTTTATTATTTAGGCAGATAGGTCTGGCTTGACACAGTAGCCCAAGACAGACACAGTCGCCCAAGACAAAATACTTCTTCGTCAAAAAAAAATCTCGGAGAATTTTAAAAAAGTGAAAAAAATGTGAATTTTTTCAGTCTGGAGAAAATCACCCTGTCAAATTTTCGTGAAAAAAAATTAGGTTAAGTAAACATGAGTTTTTTAAAAGCGGGAAATTTTTAAACTTTTTTTCCGTCTGACTTTCCTCAATGTCAGGCTTTATAGAAAACTCATTTTTTTAAAAACCTTTTTTACTTGTGCTTTTCTTTCAATTTTCAGTGACTTTTGAAAGCGAGAATTTTTTTTCAGTTTTTTTATTTCAATTTTTTTTCAGTGAGTCTTTCGCAAAGGCCGAGGAGTCTTTTAACTGTTTTAAAGGGTCGAAATCAAACCGAAATTTTTCAGGATAATTTTTTTGCATTGCCAGGAGTTGAAAGGTTTGTCCTGGGATTGAGAGACGAACGTTTTAAGACCACGGCATCATTTGTCGAAAGCTATTGTTCTTTATTTGACCTAATACTTTTCGAAAAGTTTTAAATTAACTGGTAGGCTGCTAGGCCGCAGCCTTAACCACTGGGCCACCTGAATAAATATATTCTAAGGTTGCAAACAACATACAATCCGATGGCACAGTGGTTAAGGCTACGGCCTACCAGCCTACCAGGTTGTAAGCGTAGGTTTGAATTCTGCATGGCAAATGTTCGATTTTTCCCACCAAAATTACTATTTAATTTTACAATTCATC